AGGAGGCAAGGGGCATTGATGGGAAGAAAAATGGGCCATCAAATTCAGCCATCTCCCCATAGCCTCTTGCCTTGATCTTTACTATTACAAACTTCCAGATGCCTGTTCCACCCCTCTATTGACTGTACATAGTGGACAGGGCAGACATTTTTATCTTCATTGCCTTTGTTATTTGTTTGTTTTTAAAAGAGTTGAACTTTGGCTATTTGGTGACTCTAGTATGATAAGAAGCATGTTGATCCCTCCCTGGGAAACACTTTTGACTCACAGGCATTCTGTTTACTACAACCATTACCTTTTATTTATGTTTGCCAGTTGCTGGGCAGCTAACTAGACTATGGCATATGGATCCCCAAAGGCAATGGCTGCAAACGCTGGTTTGCTGCCTGAAAAGGAGTTCATATTTATGATCACTTACCCCACATTGGGAGTTAAAACGTGGCAATTTTCAAGCTAGGAAAACAATTTCCATTAACAGAGCCCAGAAATGTATTCTTTAGTCTTTTAGATACCTTTATGGGCCAACTCTCTCCTCTCTCTCTCTAAAAAAACCCAAACAAACAAAACACACACACACAAAAACCCCTGTGAAATGCTCTCTGGGCTGTCACATAAAAGGCATTGATTGATCATAAGATTTTTCTTGGAGAAGGCTCAGTACTAGGATAGCTAGACGGCCACTGCCTAGGTTTTGTGACTTTTCCTTCTCCTTTCTCCTCTATCTATTTTAAGGAAATGGAGGTAGAAAGACTCAAAGTTGGAGAGTAAAGGGTGTTGGTGCAGGGACAAAAGGAAACTGGGCACAGCAGAGAAAGGTACAGAGAGAAATTGAGAGAAAAAAGGTTGGGCTTTCCAAGTTATTAATTCTCATTTTTGCTGTGAACTGTGAGACCACTTCCCTGTCTTCAGAAATAAAAGAAAGGGGGAGGGGGAAGGAGGTAAGGCAGGAATTGGCAAAGGGCCATGAAAATTGATTACATTGTATAGTGCTGAATATACTAATTATCCTGATTTGAACATCACATATTGCACACAGGTACTGATATCCAATGTTGTACCTCACAGATATGTACAATCAACTATTCCAATAAAAAAGAAAATAACATTAAAATTTATGAAAAATGAAAAAAACCAAACAAGAAAAAGAAAACAAAAATAAAGGCCCCAGTGTTTATTCCTTTCAGACACAGAATCTAGTTTGGGGTCAATTGTGTGAAGAAGTATGCAGAGAATGTGGACAGTCCTCACAGAATGAACCCCGCAATGGACCATGTGGGAGGAATTTATGTCCTGTATTGGTGGTCTTATGACCTCACAAGCAGGTTAAACAAGGGACTGCCTGAAAAGGCATTTAATTAAATTTCACTTCAAAATGCTCCCCTTCCTGGGAGATTCTCCAGACTAGGCTCTGATCCCTTATGCTATAATGTTGTTTTAGCTCATTGGAGTATTGGCTATATCTCCTCAAATGTACTGTCAGTTTTCTGGAGCTGAGATAATGCTTTCTGTGTTTGTAGTAGACCTCTCCCCACAACATTCAGTACAGCTCCATGCAGTGTAGGAGTTTGAGAAATACTTTTTTTCTTTCCCCAATTGAATGAACGAACAAATGAATGAATAAATGGACAAGACCAACATACAATATCACCTGATGTGTCTGTTACTCAGTTATTTGGCAAATGTACCTATGTGGAACATAACAGAAAAGGACCAGAAAGTGAGCAAAGAAAATGCACAGAGTCACTGGATGATCACTGTAGTTTATTTCACTGAGGGCTTATTGTGGGACAGGTGTTGTGCAGAGCATTTTATATGCTTTATTTTATTTAATCCTCACATCTTTATTTGTCATACTTTCACTACATTTTACAGACAAATTCATAACCTGCCTAAGGTTCTAACTCAGCTCTGTGTGACTAGAGCCCATGTACATAACCATTGTACTCTACGGCCTCCTAAAGATGGGGTACTGGAGGACCCTGTCCTGTTTTCACTTAGGTCTTTCTTTTCCTGCCACTCAGTCCTTTTTAAAACTTTTACTTTACACAGAGTCATAATGCCCGTGGATCTCCATTCTCCAAGCCCAAGCACAGCAAAGGCAGCGAATGAGAAAAACCTTATCACTGACCCTGTCCTGTTTTCACTTAGGTCTTTCTTTTCCTGCCACTCAGTCCTTTTTAAAACTTTTACTTTACACAGAGTCATAATGCCTGTGGATCTCCATTCTCCAAGCCCAAGCACAGCAAAGGCAGCGAATGAGAAAAACCTTATCACAGGCCATTTTGTGAGATTCTAATTCACAACTTGATAGCAAGCAAGGGGCCAAAGCAGATTTTGTCTTTTCTTTTCTTTTTTTTTCCCGAGGAGACAAACATGATGGTTCTAAAAGAATGGTAGTAGTCTGGGGCTATCCTGGTTCTGGTAAACTGCCCTATAATAGGTGCCCTCCAGAAGATTCACTGCATTCTAACCCAATGTTATTGATAATGACAGCATCATCAAGAAAAATTTCATTCAACATGTTCAAAACAAAAGTTGAAGGTATGAATTTCATTTAAAAATATTCCTTTTTGAAATATTACATTAAAAATCCCAGGAGCTTTGGAAAATCCAGGGTTCTGGATAGCAAAGGCTATCCTCTAGACCAGCAGTGCTTCCCAGACATCTAGAAGCCATAGATGAGGAAAACAATAAAGTGGAGGTGGGAGAACCAACATAAGTGTATGTTAAATGTTAATTCTGCTGAGTAAAAATGTTTAAAGAGAACAACCACCATCTTTAATAGAAGTAAGGACACTCAAAGAATCAAAGAAATAGGAAGGACATTTCAGAATAAAGGGAA